CTGCCCCCTCCCCTGCACCCCATATCTCCAGCACCCCACAACCCTCTCCCCCAGATCTCCCCCCACTGCCCCTCCCCTGCACCCCATTCCCCCAGCCCCCCAACCCTCTCCCCCCAGATCTCCCCTTCCCCCATCCCCCATTTCCCCAGCCCCCTCCCCGCAGCGCTCCCGGCCCCCCATACCGCTCTCGCCGTGGAGCAGGGGCAGCAGCCGGAAGGTGAGGGCGGCGCAGGTGGCGGAGAAGAAGCCGCGCCAGTAATCGCGCAGCGCGAAGTGCGTCCCGGTCGCCTCCACAGAGAACAGCACCCCTGGAGGGCAGGGGGGTCAGCCGGGAACCGGGCCCCCTGCAAGCCCCCCACACGCCCTCCTCGGGCCCCCCTCCCCTGAGCCCCCCGCGTGCCCCCCACCGACCACCCACGGGCCCATCATGCACCCGCAGTTCTCCCCATGTGCCCCGAGGTCCCCCCCATGCACCCCCGTCCTCCCTCCATGCCCCCGGGTCCCCCATGCACCCCCAGATCTGCCCCCGGTCCCCCGTCCCCCTGTGCACCCCCAGATCTCCCCCCATGCCCCCCCAACCACCATCTCCCCCCAATCATCCCTGGGGAGAACAGCACCCCGGGAACCAGCCCCCCCGATCCCCCTTCCCCCCCCGCGGCCCCCCCCGAACCGGCCCCCTCCCCCCGGCCCCGCGAGCGCTTTGGGGTCACTCACCCCCCACGGGGGCCACGAAGCAGCAGGCCACCCCCACGGCCGCCCCAGCCACCAGCATCTCGTACTTGCGGGCCGGGTTCTGGGGGGCAGAGAGGTGGGGTGAGGGGTGGGGGGGTGCTGGGGGAGGGGTGGGGACTGGGGTAGTTTGGGGGCTGGGAGAGGAGGAGCGGGGAGCTCGGGAGTGGGGGAGGGGCCAGGGGAAGTTCGGGGGGGGCGGGGGCAGCTCGGGGGGGGAGGGGCCGGGGAGAGGGAGGGGCCAGGGGAAGTTGGGGGGGCTGGGGACACCCCCAGACTCACCTCCTTGGTCCCAGCGACTCGAACCATCACGCGGCCAAGCTGGGTGGCCAGGATCGTGGCCATGTGAACGAAGGGGCCCTGGGGAGAGAGCCGGGGTCACTGCGGCCACCCCAGATCCCCCCGATCTCCCCAACTCCCCCCGATCCCCAGCCCCCCCGATCACCCCAGATCCCCCAATCCCCAGCCCCCCAGATCCCCCCAGATCTCCCTGATCCCCAGCCCCCCAGATCCCCCTAACACACCCAGCCCCCACCTCCCAGATCCCTACCCCCCCAATCCCCCACCCCAGAGATCCCAGCCCCCCAAATACCCCCAGATCCTGACCCCCAGACACCCCAGCTCCACGCACACTCCCCATCCCCCAGATCCCCCTAAAACACCCACCTCCCAGATCTCCGCCCCCTCAATCCCCCATCCCCAGAGACCTAATCCCCCCAACTCCCCCAAATACCCCCAGCCTCTGACCCCCAGCCCCTCCCAAAGGACCCCCCCACTCACCACTTTGCCCAGGAAGATGGTGCTGCCTGCCCCCAGGGTGCAGATCACCCCGACCAGCTTGGCCAGGCCAGTTCGCAGGGTGAAGAACTCGCTCAGCACGACTCCGCGGAGCGTCACCTTCAGCTCGGGGATCCCGGAGCCTGGGAGGGGGGACGCGTGAGAGCCCCCCACGGCCCTGGGATGGGGGACCCCGCAGTCACACCCCCCACGGCCCCAAGGACCCCAAGTTCCCAGCCCCCCACGGCCCGGGGATGGGGGATCCTGCGTTTACATCCCCCCACGGCCCTGGGGATTGGGGACCCCATGTTCCCAGCCCCCCACAGCCCAGGAGATGGGGGATCCCACGTTCACAGCCCCCCAAATCCCCCCTCCCCCAGGATCTTGGGGCTGTGGCGGGGTAGGGGGGCCCGGGCCCTACCTGCAGCCTGCGGCGAGATGTATTTGGCGACTCCGGCCGAGACCATCATGAGCCCCGTGTGATAGAGGACCCAGGAGAAATACTGCAGGGCCCGGTACCCCTCCAGCGCGTCGTACACCCACAGGTTGGCTGGGGGGCGACAGGGGGGGTTAGGGCAGGGATCCCGCCCCCTGCGTCCCCCCTTGGACCGGCGCCGTATGTGGGGTTCTATGGAGGGCTGGGGATCTGGGGTGGGGGGGCATGACTGGGGGGGGG